AGTATTTCAGAATTTATCTCTGAATAAGCACCTTTAAAAAGTAACCAGGACATTATCACACCTACCTAATTAGCAATTCCTTAATATCGAGTATATAGGCAGTATTAAAACGTGTTATATCATGCTTTTAAAACGTTTTTTCAGCTTATGGCCCACATAAAGTTCATACAATTTTTCCTTATTGCTCATACAATTTAAGTCTCTTAAGGTTTGCCTTTGATAAGTATTCCTGCGATGCCACCCAGTAACAGATAAAGGGATGAAGGAGGGCTCCAGGATGCAGACGTGTATCCAAGTCCAACCCCGAACCTGCCCCTTGCCTTAGAGTCAAGTCCAACCCCGAACCTGCCCAGCCTCCTGCAGACACTAGCAGCTCCCGGCGGCGGGGACGCCCGGTTCACCGGCGCCTGCTCCCGCCTCCGAGGGCCTCACCTAGGCTGTCCTGGGACCGTGTCCCACCCCGCGCGCGCCTGACTTCACGCCCCCGGTCCCCCGGCTGCTTTCGGGGCAGGGCCCTCCCCGCCCCTAGCAGCACTTGGCTGACCGCTCCCCGCCTCCCTTTCCTTCGCCGCCTTCCCTCCGAGTCTACGGGCTCCGTCGCGCTCAGCGCCCGCGCTACCCGGCCTCCGCGACAAGGACGAGAGCGGCGCCCCGCACCCCCGAAGCCGCCGGGAGGAGGGCGGGGCTCGGAGCGCTCTCGGGCCGGACTACGTTTCCCAGGGAGCCCCCGCGCCGCCTCGCGAAGGGGATTCTGGGCTCGCGTCACCGCCGCAGCTCGGGGCAGAGGGACCGCTGCGCGAGACGGGAAGTGCGCGGGGCCTCGCCAGGTGCGCGGGGCTTGGGCCGGGCCCGCCGGAGGGCGCGTGCGGAGAGGAGGAAGTAATCGGGGAAGACCCACAGGTCCGGTCCCGCGCTCTGGCTCTGCACGCCCGCCTGGCTGAGGCCTGAGCTCGCAGCGAGGAGCCGGGGCTGCCCGGCCGCGGTGACCGAGGTCCCTCCCGTCGCCGCCTCCCAAGGCTCCCTCGTCGGTTCGCGCAGGAGGTGCCCGAGCGGTGTTCCCCTCGGGGTGGCCGGGCCAGCTGTTCCCACGGGGAGTTCCCCCTGGAGGGAGTGACTTCTGCACCAGGGTGGGCTACTTTTTTCCATTGCCCTGGGACTTGTATTCTTCGCCGGCAGGGGGAACGGAAAACGGGCCCCGGCTTTCCCGGGAAGCGGACGGCGGGTTTCCAAGCTGGGGGGGGCCCCCCGGCCCCCGGACGAAGGCCTTCGTTTACCTGCCCCCCGCCGCCGCCGGGGTGCGGCGGCGGGTCCAGGCGGCTCCACGGTTTCGCGCGCGGGCCTCCCCCGGCGTCGCTGAAGGCGGCCCGCCTCCTTTCCGTGAGCGTTCGGGCACTTCCTAAAGGAAAATTGTGCCCCTAGAAGAGACCCAGCGTGGTACCCTCGCTGTAAGTCTGTGGCAGACGAGGCTGGGCAGCTTTCTGGGTGCCAGTTTGCTCTAAAAGACTCATTGAAATGTCAGTCTTATTAATATTTTCAGTGTTTTTTGTTTTGTTTTGTTTTTTTTAAAATATATTTTATTGATTTTTTACAGAGAGGAAGGGAGAGGGATAGAGAGTTAGAAACATCGATGAGAGAGAAACATCGATCAGCTGCCTCCTGCACATCCCCTACTGGGGATGTGCCCGCAACCCAGGTACATGCCCTTGACCGGAATCGAACCTGGGACCTTTCAGTCCACAGGCCGACGCTCTATCCACTGAGCCAAACCGGTTTCGGCTATTTTCAGTATTTAAAATCAAGCACTCGCCCTTTGCAGATGCCAAATACTCATGAACTTATTCAGAGTATAAACAGATCCTGTTCTCTTATGTGTTTATTATTATTATCTTTCCTGTTCTCTTTTATCAAGAAGTGTATACTCCATGCCCGGCCCATGTGGCTCAGTGGTTGAGCGTGGACCCAGGAGGTCAGGGTTGGATTCCCATCAGGGCACATGCTGGGCCTGCAGGATGCAGCCAATGGATGGTCTGCTGTCATGGATCTTTCCATCTCTCTATCCCTCTCCCTTCCTCTCTGAAATCAATAAAAAAAATTTTTTTAAATATATTAGAAAGAAAATAAAAACATATTAAAGAAAAACAAGCCGAAACCGGTTTGGCTCAGTGGATAGAGCGTTGGCCTGCGGACTGAAAGGTCCCAGGTTCGATTCCGGTCCGGGGCATGTACCTGGGTTGGGGGCACATCCCCAGTAGGAGATGTGCAGGAGGCAGCTGATCGATGTTTCTCTCTCATCGATGTTTCTGGCTCTCTATCTCTCTCCCTTCCTCTCTGTAAAAAATCAATAAAATATATTTAAAAAAAAAAAAAAGAAAAACAAAAAGCAAATGCTCCATATCCCTGAGTGAAGCACTGTCCCTGACTAGGTCTTGCCAGTAAGGACAGGGCCCTGTGCCTGGTGTAAGAGACCCCTTGGTCAGCTGTGGGTCTCTTTGTACCTTTGTTCGGTTTCTTGTTCTAGGGACTGGGAGTAAAGAGGAAGAAACACTAAACTTTCCCAGATAAATTAGGGAATGACACAGAAAGGGAAGACATTTGATCTTGTAGAATGTATTGGGTTTTTGCCAAGAGGCAAGAAAGGAAACAACATTCCTGACATAAGAATAGCATGTGTTACCATGGTGATAGGAAAAAGTGTGGGTAGTTGTGGAGAGTGGCCACCGTGTTTGGACAGGTTCAAGCTTCCAACTAATGAGAGGGCACAGTCCTTTCATGGCCACATGCAAGTGCTAGCTTGGAGGGCAAAGCCCTCCCAGCACAATTGTAGCCAAAGGTTATAGTTGTAAGTTTGAACCTATGATCCGAACACATGGTCCCACATGTCTGAGTGATGTGAATAGAGTTCAGGTGCATGTAATTGATTAAGATCTAAACCCACGAGAATATTGTAAACATCTTGACCACGCCCTTACTTTGCCTCGTGGAATTTTCTTTATTAATAAAAGGGTAATATGCTAATTAGACCAGGATACCTTCCGGACAAAGCCATGGTGGCAGGGCCGAGGCAGAGGTGGTTCGGGGCAATCAGGCCAGGAGGGGAGGGCAGTTGGGGGGCAAGCAGTCCAGCAAGGGTGGCAGTTGGGGGCGAGCAGGTTGGCAGTGGGGGGGTATTTGGGGGTGAGCAGGCCAGCAGGGGGGGCAGTTGAGGGCGAGCAGGCTGGCAGCAGAGGGGCAGTTGGGGGCAAGCAGGCTGGCAGGCAGGTGAGCGGTTAGAAGCCAGTGGCTCCGGATTGCGAGATCAGGCCTAAACCAGCAGTCGGACACCCCCCGAGGGATCCCAGATTGTAGGCCGGGCTGAGGGACACCCCCCCCTTCTGTGTACGAATTTCGTGCACCGGGCCACTGGCTATAAAATAAAGACATGGCTTGTAGTCCATGGTGCTGTTGCTAGCTCTCCATCAGAGAGGACAGGGTCCCACCCAGACCCAGCTTTTTCCTCTTGTCTGTCTTTTCTCAATCCTTCACCGTCCCCTCTCAGGCTCACTGAACCTGGCTGAGCTGGCACAGCACATAAGGCGCCCAACGTGGGGCCTGAGTGCGGGGAAATTGTGATTGTGGGGTGAAAGGAGGCTCCGTTAAGGCAGAAAGTGAAAGTAGGGTAGGGAGCAAGGTTCGGTAATACTGGGTGTAAAACTTGGGAAATTCATGATCACAGGAAGGGGATCCCTAAAAACAATGCTTAGTGAAGAAAATAAGCAATAGAGAAAGTAAGCGGTAGAAAATAGGAAGGTAGAAAATAAGCGGTAGAGAAGAGAAAATAAGATAAGAAATAGAAGATTGAAAATAAGAGAAATTACAAGATAGAAGATAAGAAATAGGAGATAGAAAATAAGAGGTGGGAAATAAAGTAGAAATCTCTTAGGTTTTGTTAAGCTACTGTAAAGCAAAAAATGGCTGTGGTTGATGTTTGAGGAAGTAACTTTTATTTCTGACACAGAAGTGACCTACATTGTAAGCTCTTGCGGCAGTTGCATTGTTTCTGGGCTTTGGTTATTTCTGCTTGTACGACCTGATAGCTCCCTGGAGCTATAGGTCCAGACCAGAGTTGGAGGTCTCCAGCTCTGCAGGACCGAGGGCTGCTCATTTCCATGCAGCAGTGGCTGAAGAAGCTGAGGAAGGGACCAGACTTCTGGCTGAGCTGGTGCAGCACATAAGGCACCCAGCGTGGGGCTGAGTATGCCATGGCCGAGCGGGCTTGCCACAGGTAGTGTGATGGACCTTTTAGGGCTAGTGAGGTAGAGAAGGGCCCAACCCAAAAGATACGAAGTGCATGCTAAGGACTAGGTCCATTTTCTTGTAAGTTCTGGGAGACCAAGAGAGAATCAAGGAGTGAAATTTGTGTTTTACAGAAATGATGCTGATGTAGACACTCACTGGCGTGGGAGAGACCAGGGGCAGAAAGCCAAGTTGGATGTCTAAGTTGAGAATATGAGGGCTTGAACCAAGGCATAGCAGCAGGAATCCAAAGCAAGGTATTTAGGAGAGGGGCTTTACAGGATGTGATAACTGCATGTTGAGAGAGACACTACCATTGCTGGGTCTGTAGATGTCACACTTTGTTGTTAATTTACTTTTTTAGAAGGAATGTGTTTTCTAGGGATGGTATTCCAGAATGGGAAAGAATTACTCCGGGAATGGGTGAGGTTGGTGATACTCAGATTTCAGAGTGTCTTGAAGTGTTTGTAGCTGACAAGTTGGAGTCAGTCCTTAGCCTTTTGCACGTTGTTGGAACCGGCTATTTTCACAGCAAGTTTCAGGCAGCACTTTTGTTCTTTGGGCAGGTGTGTGCACACGCCACGCAAGGTAAAGCTGGCTCTCCCCATAGTGGGATCTGAACAGGCCGCCTTCTTTTGACATCTCATAGTTTTCAGCTTCAATAATCTCTGCTTGTTTAGCTGATGTCTTACATGGCATCGTTTCTTAATTTAAGGGATTAACGTCTTTCAAAACTTGAAATAAAAAGCAAAATCATTTTATTTCCTCCATTCATGTGGAAAATGACGAAATGCCAGTCATCTCTCTCTAGATCAATGGCTTGTTGTATAGGAAGTACCTCAGGAATGGCCGGGTGGAAGGGCTGCGTAGCACAAGGTGTGTGGGAAGGGTCTTCCCTGCCTCGGCACATGGTCACCAACCGGCAGCTCCAGGTGTTCTCTTCATTAACTAAGAATTCTTACCCTGCGTCTGGCGTTGTTCTATGTGCTTTATAAATAGTGACTCCTGTAATTATCCTCGGGACCCTCTGAAGTAGGCACATTTCATCCCCATCGTACAGATGGAGAGACTGGGATGTGGAAAGGCCCACACGCTACCAGGAAGTAATGGAGCGGGTTTTGAACCCAGGGGTCTGGCTGCAGAACCCATGCTGTCGGCCACAGTTGTAACTATGCACCTGAGTCCGGGACGAGGATAGAAGACATCTTGGTCTCTTCATTTTAGACATTGGTCCTGCTGTGAGCCCTACAATGGGACAGACAGTGGGGACAAAGCAAGTACATGTGTTGTGTCTGAAGATACCCCGAGCCTCATTGAAAATAGAGACTGGAAAAGACTGAGGATGCAATGGTTAAGCTAATCATAATGTTTGAAAGCATTAGAGAAGACTAGGAAGTACCAGAGATGAAAACTAGGAGAAGGAAGCAAAGTAAATAAAGAGCTTCAAGAACAGTTGAGAGGCCAGCAGTGCCCTCTGTAATAGGTGTCATTGGTGAGACTCGTTCAGTGGTGTGGGGGGCAGAATCCATAGCGCTGTTGTTTATATAAATGTGTATAAAATTGCAGTGGAAATTGTTACTATCTCCAGAAGAGAAAGGGGGCAAATCATATTAAAGAGAATAAAATACAAAAGAAGTATAAATGTAGACAAAATAAAAATATTTTAACACAGTAATCAAGAGATTGAAATTTAAAATATAGTCTAAATTTAAAACAAGTTAAAAATGCAATGTTTATAGACTTCTGCTTCTGACCAAGATGGAGTAATAGGGAGTGGATTTATCTTCTTGCCCAAACAACTCAACAACAACAAAAAGGCAAAGTACATGAAACAATTGTTTGAAGACACTGGATGTCAGACAGTGCAGGACAGTCATCTCTGTGAGATGGAAAACCAACGAGGCAAGCCCTCTGGCCGCCCCAGCGTACTGCCTGGAGAGGGTCCCAGGTTACAGCAGAGGAAGGTGAAACTGCATTGGAGCCAGCAGACTCACAGAGTGTTGGGCGTGAGCAGCATCTAGAACACAGTGAAGGGCAAACTGTCACCCTCAAAGAGTAAGCAAAAATATATTTCAACAACAAAGGTATAGAATGGGAGGAAATATTTTTATATGTTCGTATTGATTTTTAGAGAGAGGAAGGGAGAGGAATAGAATGATAGAAGCATTGATGAGAGAGGAACATCATCAGTCGGTTGCCTCCTGCACGCCCCCACGAGGGATCGAGCCTGCATCCCTGGCATGTGCCCTGACCAGGAATCGAAGTGGCAACCTCCTGGTTCCTGGGTCGATGCTCAACCACTGAGCCATACCAGTGGGACGGGAGAAAATATTTAGAAATCATCTATATCTGATGCTGGCTTAATATCCAGAACATTTACAGAAATAAAACTTAACAACAAAAGTCAAACAACCCAAATTTAAAATGGGCAGAGAACTTGAACAGACATTTCTCCAAAGAAGGTCATACAAATGGCCAAAGCACATGAAAATAATGCAAACTAAAGCCGCAAGGAAATACTACTTAACAACTACTAGGCTGGCTATAATAACTATTTCAAATGGAATAACACATGTTGGCAACTTTGTGGGAAAATTGGAACCCTTGTGTATTGCTGGTGTGAATGTAAAATCATGTAGCTGCAATAGAAGTGTTTTGTGGGTCCTCAAAAAGATAAACCTTAAAATTACCATATGACATAGCAATTCCACTCCTAGGTATATGCCCAAAGTAATTGAAAACAGGGACTCCAGCAGATTCTTGTATGCTAGTATTCATTGCAGCATTATTCACAAAAGCCAAAAACCAGATAAATGGATAAACAAAAGGTGGTCAGTCTTTACAATGGCATATTACTCAGCCATGAAAAGGAATGAAGTTCTTACAACATCATGGATAAACCTTGAAAACATGGTAAGTAAAATAAGCTAGACACAAAAACACAAATATTGTATGTTTTACTTAGATGATATTACCAGAATAGGCAAATTCATAGAAACAAAGTAGACTAGAGGTTATTGGGTCTTGAGGGGAGGAAGGACTATTGCTTAATGTTTAGGAGTCTCTGTTTGAGGAAAAGTTTTGGGATTAGTAGTGATGGCTGCACAACATTGTAGATATAATCAATGCTGCTGAATTGTACACTTAGCAGAAAATTTCGTATGTATTTCACCATAATTACAAAGACTAGTAATGTAATATACTGAAAACCATTTAATTTGTATGCCTTAAGTGGGTAAATTGTATGGTATGTGAGTTATATCTCAATAAAGCTGTTTTAGAAATGTACAAAGGCAAAATAAAGACATTTATTTTGTCTGACTTACAAAAGCCGAAACAATTTGTTATTAGCAGCACACGTTACCAGAAATGTTAAAAGATGTCCTTCAGGGATAAAGGAAATGAAACCAAATGGGAATCAATCTCTACAACAGCGGTTCTCAACCTGTGGGTCCGACCCCTTTGGCGGTCGAACGACCCTTTCACAGGGGTTGCCTAAGACCATCCTGCATATCAGATATGTACATTACGATTCGTAATAGTAGCAACATTACAGTTATGAAGTAGCAACAAAAATAATTTTATGGTTGGGTCACAACATGAGGAACTGTATTGAAAGGGCCAGAAGGTTGAGAACCACTGCTCTACAAGAAAGAATGACGCACTGCCAAGTACACAAATAAAGGTATATTTATTTATTAATATTTAAGTATCTTTAAAAGATAGCTGGCTGAGCATTAGTTTTCTATAGCTGTGTAACAAATTTCCACAAATGCAGCAGCTTCAAACAGCACTCACTAGCTCACAGTTCTGTGAGTCTAAGTCTGAAGACATGTGGCTGTGTTTTCTGCTCTAATACCTAACAGCTGATAGCAGGTGTTGGCTGGTGTGAGTTCTCAGCTGGAGGGTGTGGCGGGGGGCGGGGTGGGGGGATGCACTTCCAAACTCATGCTAATTCCTGGCAGGATTCTGTTCCTACAAGGCTACAAGGCTGAGGTCCCTGTTTCTGTGCTGGCTGTCGGCTCCCCCAGACGGCCCACACTTCTTGCCACATGGCATCTTGTACTTTCAGGCCAGTAATGCTCACATGTTTCTTGTGCTTCAAATCTTTGACTTCCCTTCTGCGATTAGCTGGAGATATCATATTTCTTTTTTTTATATATATATATTTTATTGATTTTTTACAGAGAAGAAGGGAGAGGGATAGAAAGTTAGAAACATTGATGAGAGAGATTGATCAGCTGCCTCCTGCACGCCCCCCACTGGGGATGCGCCCGCAACCAAGGCACATGCCCCTGACCGGAATTGAACCCGGGACCCCTCAGTCCGCAGGCTGACGCTCTATCCACTAAACGAAACCGGTTCGGCAATATCATATTTCTTATCTGTAAAGTGAGGATGTTAGATCAGGTCAGTTTTTGTTTTGTTTTTCATTAGATTTCCTAAAAAAGGATTTGTGGTAGTAAAATAATTTGATTCCAAATGAAATTTAGCGTTGAACCTTGGAGGTTTGGGGGGAAAGGCAATGTACGTACCTCTTCCTACTCCTGGGAACTTGTGGAGTATCTCTGATGTTCCTCTGTGGTGGTTTTTGAGTTATATCCTGCTGGGAAGAGGGAGTATAGGCTGAGGATTTATGAAGCGTCCCAGGCACAGCTAACTTTCCTCGTGTTTCTTTCTTTTCTCCAGCTTTGCCTTCTCGGATCTGGATCTCTCATTCCTCAAGAAAGCATCAACAAGCACACAGAGGGCATGGAAGCCCAGTCACTCCCTGCCCGGTTCCCTGTAAGCTGAGCTGCCTTCTTTGTTTTCCAGCTGAGAATCTCTTTTTGCTTAAGTTCTGAAATTCCTTTGCCTAGAACTTCAGAAATTGTATCTCAGACATTCTTCTCCAGGAGACTAGCACCATTTATTTGTTTTATTGGTAGAAATGTTTTTATTTCCTTTCTTATAAAAAAAATCTCAAGTTTATGAGTAATGTGGTCAATAGTTAAGTGAGGTAATATTGAGGAATGAAGCACTTTTTGTCAGCACTTTTAAATAAAAGTGCTTCTTACAGTTTCTAAACCTAAAGCTTAGTAGAACTGGTTTGGGGACAATAAGTACCTTTTAGGAATTGACCAGAATCCAACACAAATAGTACTGACTCCTCAATAAATCTGGTTCACCTTCTTCCCTCCCCCAGTGCTCTCTGCCTAAACTCTCTGTCAGGATTCAGAAAAGGGAGAGAGACAATCTGGCTCAATGCAAACTTGTTTCATGTTGTAGGCACTGGTGACCTTCAAGGATGTGCTTGTGAACTTTACCAGGGAGGAGTGGAAGTTCCTGGATGCTGCGCAGCAGGTCATGTACAGAGATGTGATGCTGGAGAACTATAGGAACCTGGTTTCCTTGGGTAAGACGAACCTCTGTTTTTGGAGATGCACTGCCTGTGATGGTTTTGGTTCTTCATTGACCAAAAGGTATGGAGACCCTGAAGCATGGATCAGAGTATGAGCTTGGGTTCAGGGACCTAATATCCTTGGGGCATAGAATAGGGGTTTTTATACTCCTCCTTTCATGGGGGAATTAGTTCTGATGTGTTGAATTTATGAAATGCACATTTTGCTTCCTCTGTAGCCTTACCTTATCTGCTTTCAGAAGTCCCCATGGTTGGGGCTGGTGTTGAATCTGGGAGGGTCCTCTGGGTCCAGCTCAGAGTTCTGCAACCCTTGCCCATTCCGTATCTTTCACTGTGAACAGGACATCGACTTCCCAAGCCTGATGTGATCCTCCAGTTGGAAAAAGGGGAAGAGCCATGGCTGGTGGAGAGGGGGACTCACCAAGGTGCCCATCCAGGTGAGGATCAGACAAGCTGCATTGCAGACAGTAGCCTAGATAACCCATTGGTCTAGCATCCCTAGGGATAGTGGTCACTAGTTCTTATTTCCTCAGACATAACAACTAGTGACCAACTCTTAGCATCACCGTTCTCTCATTTTTACAGAATCATTTTTCTGTCTTTGCCTGTCTTTTACCTTTCACGTAGTCCCTCCCACAGCCTTTGTGTGTGGGCTGGGCACCCCAGCACCCGCCGTTGTCCTGAGTTCTCTGCCAGTTAGGAAACTGCAAGCAGAGCTCGTCCGTTCCCACTGCTCGTTTCCTCTTCCCCGGAGCTACTGCTCTCAAGCACCTGTGCTCTCACCACACTCTTGCTCTTCATTTAATGTTTTTTCAATTTGTACCTATTTTATTTTCATCTTCATATGTAAAATGCAAATTGTTATGTGAATTCCGAACATCACTTCTGTTCCCTACTTCCCTGTACAGAAAACCAGCCTTCCAGGCTGAGACAGAAAGTACTCTCTGGTTTTCCTCTTCCTTTGTTCTCTGTAAGTGATCTTGTCACAGATTTTCCTTTCTGAGCCCAAAACTCAGACGTTTCCCCCCTAAGCCCTCTTTGGTGTTGCTCGTCCAAGTCATGATGCAAATACCCAACTTCACCTGAGCCGAACAGCCAGGACACTTACCATTGACCAGTGGGGGTTAGTACAGGCACAGCTTTCTAAGCCCCGTGCTGCCTGTATCATTTCTGTCTGACACCTAATGTCTAAGTCTGTCAGGTGTGTCCCTGCACTCAGGCTGTAGTGCTTTGGTGATGTAGATCAGAGGCATTGCCTGGCATGACTGCATTCGTGGTTTAGGAACATTATATTGGCTGTAGTGTGAAGAATGCATGTCATGGGGAGGACCTGGAACAAATAGACATATTAGAGTCTTACATCATTAATAGTAGGATTAGATAATGGGAGTGCCACCCTTTCTGTGGGATTTGTTTTATTGCCCCCCCCCCCACTCCCACTCCCACTTCACTGAATACCCTGATTCCAGTCTGTGGTTTCTCCTTACTCTCTCTGCTCCTTCTATGCACTGTGTTACCTAGCACATTTCCTGTGTACTGCTGTATTCATCTCTGTTAAGGTTTCAGAACCATGTCTGAAAGCAGGTCTATATGTCTTATATTTTTGTCTCCACATACATCCCAACATTCTAATGTTAATTTTTTTTTAGTTATGCAAACCTTTTTCATTTATTTCAGATTGGGATACTGCAGTTGAAATTAAAGCAGTTTCCAATAAGAGCATTTCCAAAGATAAACAATCCTATGACATTAAAAAGGAAGGAATGGTAAAGAGTGATCTGTGGTATCTGTCATTAGAAGAAGTCTGGAAATGTGAAGATCAGTTGGACAGGTATCAGAAAAACCAGGACAAACATTTGAGGCAAGTGGCATGTACCCAAAAAAAAGTATTTTCTCCAGAAAGAGTCAGTGAACATGGTAAATTCAGGGAAAACTGTCTTCTTCCTGGTCAGCTAGTACAGAGAGAGTATTTCCATAAACAAGACTCATGTACTAAAAGTTCTAAAGGTGATTTAGTTATTAGTGGTCATCAGGAAAGCTCTGTAAGTAATAGCAGTGAATGTAGCCAAACCTTCTGTCGGAACATTCACCGTATTCAATTTTCAAAAACTCAAACACGAGATAAAGCCTACAAATGCCCAGAGAATGATAACTCTCATAGGCATGGCACATCCCATGGTATATCCAAGGGTATGCATAGAGAGAAACCGTATGAATGTAAGGAATGTGGAAAATTCTTTAGCTGGCGTTCTAATCTTACCAGGCACCGGCTTATTCATACTGGAGAAAAACCCTATGAATGTAAAGAATGTGGAAAATCTTTCAGCCGTAGTTCTCACCTCATTGGACATCAAAAGACTCACACTGGTGAGGAACCCTATGAATGTAAAGAATGTGGAAAATCCTTCAGCTGGTTCTCTCACCTTGTTACCCATCAGAGAACTCATACAGGAGACAAACTCTACACATGTAATCAGTGTGGGAAGTCGTTTGTTCATAGCTCCAGGCTTATTAGGCACCAGAGAACTCATACTGGGGAGAAACCTTACGAATGTTCCGAATGTGGGAAATCTTTCAGACAGAGCACACATCTCCTTTTGCATCAGAGAACACATGTTCGAGTGAGGCCCTATGAATGTAATGAATGTGGGAAGTCTTACAGCCAGAGATCTCACCTTGTTGTACATCATAGAACTCACACTGGACTGAAACCCTTTGAGTGTAAAGATTGTGGAAAATGCTTCAGTCGAAGCTCTCACCTTTTCTCACACCGAAGAACCCACACTGGAGAGAAACCATACGAATGTCATGATTGTGGAAAATCCTTCAGCCAGAGTTCTGCCCTCATTGTGCATCAGAGAATTCATACTGGAGAGAAACCATATGAATGTTGTCAGTGTGGGAAAGCCTTCATTCGGAAGAATGACCTCAGTAAGCATCAGAGGATCCATATTGGAGAAGAGATTTATAAATGTAACCGTTGCGAAATTACGTTCGTCCTCAACTCTCCATTTATAGTACGTCAGATAGCTCACACTGGAGAGCAGTTCCTAACCTGTAATCGGTGTGGGACAGCACTTGTTAATAGCCCTAACCTTATGAGACACCAGGCAAGTGATATTAGAGAAAGTACATATTAATATAATGAATATGAAAAACTTTTCACAAAGAACAGTAACTTTACTTAGCTTTGTAGAACTCTGGAGCAGTGGTTCTCAACCTTCCTAATGCCGCGACCCTTTAATACAGTACCTCATGTTGTGGTGACCCCCAACCAAAAAATTACTTTCGTTGCTACTTCATAACTATAATTTTGCTACTGTTATTAATCGTAATGTAAATATCTGATATGCAGGATGTATTTTAATTGTTCGTGACTCACAGGTTGAGAACCGCTGCTCTGGAGAGAAGCTGTACATTGTAATCCATGTGGAAAGGCTTTCAGTCTTGTACTGTCCTTTATTTTTTTTGCACTGAGGACATCATGAACCCATAGTGTGTGTATGAATTCATTTCTGAGGGTCAATTAACAAATTTTCACATTTTATGAAAAATAATTGTTTCCATACAAAGGTTTTCTCTTCTTGGAGAGGATCCTAAATCTTTAGTTTCTGTCCATGACCCTAAAAAAGTTTAGGAAGAGAATCTGTCTTAATTCTGTATAAATGGCTCTCCTGTGTATAGGGACTGACCATTATTTGTCATTCTCTAGCAAACAATATATATGTTAAATGTTCAAGAGTAAAATGTTTATATATTTCCCAGGAAAAGAAATCTAGAAATGATTGTGAGAACCACAAGCTTTCAGAACTAGAAGGAAAATGATTCTGGTTAACTCATGCTCTTTATTGTACGTTGAGACCCTGTGAATTGGTTTAGGGCTCACGTTTTGAAAAAGGGCTGTTTTTATTGATTTTTGAGCAAGTGAGAGACACCGATGTGAGAGAAAACATTGATCGGTTGTCTCCCACAGGCGCCCTGACTGGATGGAACTGGCAACCTGGTTATGTGCCCTGACCAGGAATAAGATTGGCAACCTTTTGGTGCACAGGAGGATGCTCAACCAACTGAGCCACACCAGCCAGGGCCAGGTTCACATTTTGAATGAAGTCAGACCCAGATCTAGATCACAGGCCCCTCCATTACTGGTGCTCTCCTCAGTGCTTACATATGTGTAACATTCCTATCAGAACCAGTTTTCATTGTAAGCAGTGGTTCTTTGTGTGAATGGAAGAGAAGCCCCTTAACCGAGCCCCTTAGACTTTCTGATAACTTATGGCTGTTTTTCTCAACTGTATAATGGAGGTGCTACCAGTGTCTGCCTCAGGGAGTTGTGTGAATTCGTGTGATAGCGTGTATCCTGTATGTAAAACTGCCTGCAAATAGTGCTACCTGTGTTGGATAGTAACATTATCAATATTACTATTTTTAACATCCTAAGGAATGTGGGAAGAGATGTGTCTATGGATGATCACTGAAATAACATGATAGTGCAATTTGCAATATAAAAATGTATAATAAAATGCTTATTTATAGTGTATCCATGTAATATGCTGACATTAAAATTATGAAAAGTTCAGTAACAGGAACAATGTTAAAGCTGTCATGTGGTATGAAAAAAGCATGATAAAAGTACATAGGGATTGTCCTAGCTGGTTTGGCTCAGTAGGTAAAGCTTCGTCCTGTGGACTGAAGGGTCCCAGGTTTGATTCTAGTCACGGGCATGTACCTTGGTTGTGGACGCATCCCCGGTAGGGGGTGTGCAGGAGGCAGCATATCGATGTTTCTCATGTATGTTTCTCTCTATCCATCTCCCTTCCTCTCTGTAAAAAAAAAAAATCAATAAAATATATATTTTTTAAAAGTACATAGGAATAAAATCAAATATGCAAAAAAATAAGTGAACTGTAAAAAATGAAATGAATGTTGCTCAAAACTCTTAACTTGTCAGATTAATAGTAGTCTACATTTTGGGGATTTTGGCATTTACTTTTTTTTAAGTATTTTTTTTTTTTTAGAGAGGAAGGGAGAGGGATAGAGAGAAACATTGATCAGCTGCACACTCCCTACCGGGGATGTGCCCACAACCAAGGTACATGTCCTTGACTGCAATCGAACCTGGGACCCTTCAGTCTGTAGGCTGACACTCTATCCACTGAGCCAAACCGGTCAGGGCTAGCATTTACTCTTTTTTTCTTCTTTCAACTTTTCTGTTCTTTCCATCTCTTCTAAGAATACATTTAGGATCAGGAAAATAATCTTGTCAATGACGGGATGTTTTCCAAAGTTCTTATCTACAAATAAGCTAGAACTGTAAGGGAGATTGAGAAGGTCACAGGATACAAGATTAATATACAATAAACTTTTATTTCTATGTACTAGCAGTGAACAATTTAGAAATGAATTCAGAAAAACAATCTCATTTACAATGACACAAAAAAACGGAAGAGATAATGAAACAAGCAAGGTCTATATAGTAAGAAGTGCATATTGTGGAGATTCCAGAAGATGTGATATAGAACACACAAAACATGGTAAGTGGAGTAATACTAGTCCAGAATGGGAAAACATTGTTAAGATGGCAATTCAGAGTTTGGCATGTCTTCAAATGTTTGGAGTTATTAAAGTGTAAATTAGAACTGTTACCATATGACCCATCAATTCCATTCCTTGAATTTAAAAAAATGACCATGTAAAAAGATGGCATGTGTAGTAATTCACAGCATGTGAATGGACAAATTTTGTTTTAGCCCTATAATGAAATAGCACTCAGTAATAAAATGTAACAAAAACAACAGCATGGTTAAATCTCAAAAAACATTCTAAGTAAGTCAGACATAGAAGAGTATATACTATATGACCCATCTATAAAATTTTTCAGAACAATCTTATCTAATAATAGACAAACATGGTAATTGACCATACCTTCGCTACGCCTTCCATTGGCTAATCAGCATGATATGCAAATTAACCGTCAACAAAGATGGTGACTAATTTGCATACTGCAGGCAGGGCGGGCCAGCGTGAGTCGCCATCCCGGCCCCCGTGTGCCGCCTAAGCCCTGCCCCCAGCCGGGACCCCCATGTGCTGCCCTGGGCGGCGGGGCTTGGCAGAGCGATTGGCCAGAGGAAGCCCTATTCTCGCAGGAATCCTCCTGCAATGGGCTTGTAGTCCTACCTAATATAAGGCTAATGTGCAAATTGTCCCCTTGAGTTTGACCACTCACTATGATGTGCGCTGGCCACCAGAGGGCTGCACAGAATGAAGGAAGTACCAAGCTGGCAGTGGGAGGAAGGAAGGCCCAGATTGGCCCTGATCACCAGCCAGGCCTGGGGACCCTATGTGTGCTCAAATTTCATGCCCCAGGCCCCTAGTCTATAATGACAACAGATACATCAGTAGCTGCCTGTGGCTGGGGGTGGCAGAGTAACAGTGCAGACAGGACCATAAACGCCCTTCATATGGAGTGAGGCTGTATGATGTGTGTAAATTATACCTCAAAGTTTTTATTTGAATTTGGAATTCAGAAAACCATGGACTTTTGGGAAACAAAAGCTGCAGCTCCAAGTGAATACTAATACCAATAGAAACTATAGACAGCCTGATATGATGTAGCCAATCTGCTAAGCCCTTTAATGCATTAGATTATTTCTATAACTTTGAGGAAAATAGTAATATACCTTCTATAGTTAGGGCAAATTGACAGTAAATGGTGGAGCTTCATTTGAGAAATAACTAGCAAGTATGTGGCAGATCTCAATAAAATAATGTTTGACAGAGTAGAAGGTTTTATAAAATTAGCTATTGTAATATAGAAATTACTTTTCAAAAGATTGACACATTTAAAAGGTTCCACACACACACACACACACCAAAAAGAATGTTTTTAATGCCACTCACTAATTTTTGGGGGGTGGGACTAATTTTTATTAAAATGTTCTATTTTTTAAAAAATACATTTTATTCATTTTTTACAGAGAGGAAGGGAGAGGGATAAAGAGTTAGAAACATCAATGAGAGGGAAACATCGATCAGCTGCCTCCTGCACACCCCCTACTGGGGATGTGCCCGCAACCAAGGTACATGCCCTTGACCAGAATCGAACCAGGGACCCTTCAGTCCGCAGGTCAACGCTCTATCCACTGAGCCAAACCGGTTAGGGCTAAAATGTTCTATTAATATGTAATACATTTTTGAGTTGTTAAATTGTAAGTTAGAACTTTTACCAAAAAGCATGGACCTTAGTACACTTATACCACTGCCGTGTTTGTTCTGTTACTGTCAATTACTTTAATTCCTTGTATTAAAGCCGACAGGGCTGCAGCATAGCCACTCCCGGCCCTCGGCTCCCCCCCCCGCCCCGTGCGCCGGGACTCCCGCGGAGGCTTCTGGGAGTTGTAGTTCGTTCTGCCCTCGGTGTCACGACGCGATTCCTGTGCGTCCCCGTGGGCCGTCAGCGGCTCCCTCAGGCCGGAGCAGCTTCGCTCCGCAGCGGGCGTCTGGCAGCCGTTACCCGGTGCGGTGACAGACTGGAGTGGGCTCCTCTCCCCGGGAGCCGCCGCGCCAGCGCCCGGAGGGGCGCCTCAAAGTCTAGCGCGAGGACGCAGTCGTCTGGCTGCAGATCCGGGAGGTGGAGGCAGCCAGTCTCCCGCAGACCCTCCCTCTCGGCCCCTTCAGGGTGCGGAGCCGACCCGCCGAATCCCTCTTTCCCGCGCGGGTGCTGAGGGGGCGGAGGTGGGGGGCCCGGCGGTGCCTGAGGGAAGGGCCCGTCGGCGCTCCCAGTCGCCCCGGGACGGGGAGACCCTCCCCTCCGTCCTGTCCCCGCGGCGCACCGAGGCGTGGGCATGGGCACCAGGGTGCGCACCGCTGCCATCTGGGTGAGTCGGTTTCCTCTCCTCGTGAGAAGCTGCCCCGAGGCCGACGGGCCCGCAGCCCGCGCCTCCGGGCGATGGCAATGCCCCAATCTGACGACGGGACTGTTGCCGGACGGTCAGGATCCTGACAATCGGGGAGGTGGAGAAGGTGCTCGGGTCGGGGAAGCTTCTCCGAGGTCGTTTAGGCGCCGCGACCCCCTCCTTTAAGGGACGCCACCAGCCACGGGGCGTGCAGCGGCGCCTTAGTCCACGGGGCGACTTGCAAACCCCAGGGCGACCTGGGCCGTAGGGACCCGGACGTACCGGGTCGGACCAGCGCACCGCCTTCCGCCTAAGCAAGCACTTCCTGCTTCCCACGCCCCTCGCGCTGGGGCCGTTGCTAAGGAAACGGGGGTTCAGGGAACCCAGTCCCCGCGCTGCCGGGCAACGCGTCCTGGGCGCAGGGAGGGACCGCACCGGATTGCATGGCGCTCGGAAGCCTGTGCGAGTGAGACAGGAGTTTCAGACGAGCCTTGCTTTCATCTCTTCGCCATATTTCTCTCTCCTGGAGGTAACCAGTTTGATAGTTTGTAGTTCATCCTTTCAGTGATTCTTTTGGAATGATAAGCAGACAGACACACCTGACCTGACTCATTGCTAAGCTTTGTCAGGAAGCCTTTTTTTCTGCCCTGAGCCTTTTCCTGGAGTTCAACATGCCTTGTCTCACACGTACATCTTGGATTTTGTTTTTAAGAAATTTTTTGGAATAAGCTTCCTCTGCACACTTTCTTTTTTTAAAAAAAAATATATCTTATTGATTTTTTACAGAGAGGAAGGGAGGGATAGAGAGTTAGAAACATCGATGAGAGAGAAACGTCGATCAGCTGCCTCGTGCACACCCCCTACTGGGGTTGTGCTCACAACCAAGGTACATGCCCTTGACCGGGATCGAACCCGGGACCTTTCAGTCCGCAGGCTGACGCTCTATCCACCGAGCCAAACCGGCTAGGGCCACAGTTTCTTTTTTATCTCCTCCCGTTCCCTCACCGTCTCCGATGATTCCTTAGATCCTCTTGTTCTCACAGGCCCACAGCACTGGTGGGCCACTGGGTGACTTTAGGAACATGTCACCTGCAGCTCGGAGCCTGAGGAAGGGGCTCAGACTCCACTCCAGGGAGCTGCTCCCAGTTGGGGATGAACAGTTACTGGTGACGTTGGAGATCTGCAGGGTGTGGCCCATCAGGAATCTTCCCTCATTTCCCACATTTCCTCTGCGGGGAGCTGCCCTCTGCATTTGGGTCACATCCCAGGTTTGTGAGGCCTGTCCCCTAGGTCTTGTGGGTGATAGATGTCTGGGCTTTTGCTTTTACTATTCTGGTAGGTCTCCTATTTCTATGGGGAGTTTTGGGGGAGATTAAATAACCCCACTGCTACTGACCTCACCCTGCTCTCAATGGCTCAACAACAAAGAGGAACAACCAGTGGGAGAGGTTAAGTGAGTTTGTTCATGGACATAGAAACAGTGAGAGAAGGAGCTCTAACTGAAGCCGGCCCTTCAGTCAGAACCTACTGCTGGCGTAAGCGCTAAACAGGGTTTTCTTCTGAGCACCTAGCGTCAGTTCTTACGTAAGTGGCTGCCCGAAGGGGTGGAACTCTCAGGTGCTCATCGTGCTTGTGGGTTCCTGGGGCCTTTGCAGAGTCTGGGGTGGGGGGACTGTCATCATGGTGTTGGGGTTCCCGTTTTAATTTCTCTGGCTTCTGCCCCTCAGCAGTCCTGACCGCGGTCTGCAGAGCACCCAGCCTGACCTGCAAACACGTGTTGCTGGGCCCATAGGATACGTGCTCCCTAAAGTGGTTTGCTCTTGAGTCCACAGGTCCCACCCCTGCAGGATGGCGACAGTTCAGGCAATAGGATCCGAAAGCGCAAAGGTCAGGCTCCCATTGTGGGTCTGGGGACCCCTGACCAGAGGCCTCTCCCTGGAGGACCCCAGCAGAGGCACAAGAGCCACAGGACAGAGCAGGCCCTCGAGTGGCTGTTTATTTCCCAGGAACAGCGGGAAACCACAGAGTTCCAGGTGAGTTGCTTGTTCATAGATTCCCACTTCTTTATTTCATTCATTTATTTACTTTTTTGCTGGGGAGGGGGATGTGATTCTTAACTTCAAGGGTTAAGTTAATCACTCCTCAGTTTGTGGCCTGCTTATCATTCCAGTTCCTATCTACCTTTATTTACAGATTTCCTGATTTCTCCATATTCAGTTTCCGTCTTTTTCACCCCCTAACATTATTTTTAATTGACATTCTTTTGTTGATGTGTTTATAACATGTGCATTATTATTGCTGTGAATGTCTTTCCCTTTCACGTTGGTGTGTGCATGCACACCTTGCTGCGATGCTTGTATTTGTCAGCGAGCGCTTGTTCATGAGGCACCTATGCTCCTGCGTTCATCTACTCGGCTGCTGGCAGCAGGGCTGGCGCGTCCATGTGCCTCACACATCCAGCAGCACTGACTTTGTCTTTAGAAAGTGTGATTATAGTATGTCTCATGGGTTTTGTAGTCTTGGGAGCCCTTTGGCATTGTCAGGTGTTTTTTCTTTTTAATTGTAGCCATTCTAATAGGTGTGTAATGGTATCTCGTTGTTTTAACGTGCAATTTCCTAATGGTAATATGATGTTGAGCATTTTTATATGCTTATTTCCCATTCACGTGTTTTCATCTTCAGATCTTTCGCCCCACAAACTGGCCACTACTTAGAGCTCTCGCCTTTTGATTCCCCTGAGTTACTAAGGTATCTTCTCTCACAGTGGTCACTTCTGTAGAACCCTCCCCGTGGCTCCCCCAGACATTTATAAGCAGCATTGCTCTCCTCTTCCTCTGTGCCCATCCTGTACTCTCTATTTTATTTACGCCCTGTTTTATTTGTATGTATTTAACTCTGCACTGCTGAATGCTTCTTGCAAGCAGGACTGTATATCAAAGGCACCTAGTTGAATAGCTAGCACCCACAGGCCAGTAACTGTTGCAGAAGTAGGGTGACCAACCATCCGTGTTTGTTCCAGCTTCTTGGACTCCCAGTTGCATTTATATACGTTCACCTTTGATTTCCTATGCATCGCCGAGCACTTGTGGGCAGGAATCTGTTTCCACACTGTGACATCACCTGCAGCTCAGTAAGGACCTGGCACCTGATATTGTCATGTCTTGAGTGAAAGGCTGACTAATATAGTGCATATTGATGATGACGTTTTCAATTATTTTTTACTCTTGTCACAAAGTGAAATGTAATTAATGAAATCTCTAGGTAAGCAGTCTGTTGTTTCCCACAAACTCAGTCAGATCATCTGAGATTGTAGGGAACCTGGTGTTGCAGAGGCCGCTGTCGTTCATGGACGTGTGTGTGCACTTTACCTGGGAGGAGATGCAGCTGCTGGACCCCGCGCAGAAGCACCTGTACAGGAGTGTGATGTTGGAGAATTACAGCAACCTGGTGTCTGTGGGTAAGTGCTGCCGCCCTGAGAGGAATGTGTGTGGTGTCCAGGCTACTTCTTGGTCGCTGAAAGCTGGGAAGTGGGGAGTGGGGCTTTTGTAAAGACTTAGTGATTTTAAACTTCTGGTCAGAGGCCAGGTTTTCTTAGTCTCCCTTTGTCATCAGATGATGCTAGTGGAATGTCTTTATTTAGCCAAAGTACAAAAGGGCCGCTTCCTCATGCTGCCTCTTAACTGAACCGTCCCCTCCTTCAGCATCCCTGAATCCTGGAGGCTTCGGTCTACATTGTCTGATTCTCCGTTCACAGGGTATCAACACACCAAACCTGACATCATCCTCCAGCTGGAACAAGAAGAGCTGCGCGTGGTGCAGGACCGAATCCTAAGTCACGGCCATCCAGGTGAGTGATCAGGACATTTAGATTTTTACATTTTTATTTGGAATTGCGAAGATTCACGCAATAGGCCTTCCTTCCCCTGGCTGCCAGCACCGGTTTTCCTCCGGCACCCAGGACCCAGGCCTTTGGTCCGGCTGCAGCAGAGGAACCAAGTCTCGAGGGTAGGCTTCTCTTCTGCGGCCGCAGCGAGGCTTGGCTTCTCCGCTGCAGTTGCAGCGGAGAAATCAAGCCTCTTCAGTCTTAAGTCATCTTCAGTCTTCGCTCCGTGCCTGTGTATGCAAATTAACCGCCATCTTTGTTGGGTTAATTTGCATACTCATCCTGATTGGCTTTTGGGCATAGTGGAGTGATGACCAATTTACATATTTCTCTTTTATTAATGTAGATATTTTTATTTCTAGACAAAGTATGGGAGTTTGATAATCACATGGAATGGTATCAGGAAAATCAAGGCAAGCTGGGAAATATGGCAAAATACTATGACTGTACTGCCTTTGGGAAACTATGTATTCGTACTACAAATTGTGGTTTTTTAAGACAAAATCTTTATAAATTTGGCACACATGGGAAGAGTTTGAAATATAATATAGACTTCAGTATTAATTATGCTGGAAAGAATCCTAATGGGTTTTATGCACAAAGGGAATCAACCCTCCATTCTGAACATGAGCAGACTCTTTTTGGAATAAAATACTGTGAAAGTAATGAACCTGGAAAATTTGTCAACAAGAAGTCACAACTCATGTGCCCACAAATCTATGTGGAAGGTAAATCCTTTGAATTCAGTTACTGTGGAAGGTCTTCAGTAGCCGGTCATACCTTGTAGTGCATCAGCAAACTCAGGCAGAGGAGAGGCCTTCCAAGGGTGATGTATGTGAGAAAGACTTCAGCAGTAAGTCCTACCTCATTGAATATCAGCAAAATCATACAGGAGAGAAATCACATGAATGTAACGAATGTGGGAAAACTTTCCAGTTCAAGTCACAATTTTCTGTCCATCAGAGAGTTCACACAGGTGGGAATCATCACGAATGCTGTGCGTGTGGAAACGTCTTCAGTAGGAAAGACCAGCTTGTTTCACACCAGAGAACTCATTCAGCGCAGAAACCTTATGGTTGCAATGACTGTGGGAAAGCGTTTGGGTTGAACTCACAGCTCATTATCCACCAAAGAATTCCTACAGGAGAGAAACCCTATGAATGCAGTGACTGTCAGAAAGCCTTTCATACAAAGTCAAACCTTCCAGTACATCAGAGAACCCATATAGGGGAGAAACCTTATGGTTGTAGTGAGTGTGGGAAAGCCTTTACTTTCAAATCACAGCTCATTGTCCATCAGGGGCTTCACACAGCAGTAAAGCCCCATGGATGCATTCAGGGTGGGAAAGCTTTCAGCTTGAAGTCACAGCTTATTGTACATCAGAGAAGTCACACAGGAATTAAACCTTATGTGTGCAATGAATGTGACAAAGCTTTTAGGAGCAAGTCATACCTCATTATACATTATACATATGAAGTCTCATACAGGAGAGAAACGTCATGAATGCAGTGAATGTGGGAAATCCTTCAGTTTCAATTCACAACTCATTATACATCAGAGGATCCACACAGGAGAGAGCCCGTGTGAATGCCACAAATGTGGGAAAGTTTTTAATCGTAAGTATCAGCTCATTTCACACCATAGAACTCATGCAGGGGAGAAGCCTTATGAATGCAGTCTGTGGAAAAATGTTTGGTTTGAAGTCACAGCTCATTACACATCAAATAATTCATACAGGAGAGAATCCCTTTGAATGCAGTGAATGTCTGAAGGCCTTTAATACAAAGTCAAACCTTATTGTACATCAGAGAACCCATTCAGGGTAGAAGCCCTATGGTTGTAGTGAATGTGGGAAAACCTTTACTTTCAAGTCACAACTTACTGTACATCAGGGAACACACACTAGGGTAAAACCACATGGATGTAACCAGTGTGGGAAAGCCTTTAGTTTGAAGTCACAACTCATTGTACACAAGAGAAGTCACACAGATGTGAAACCCTATGGATGCAGTGAATGTGGTAAAGCTTTCAAGAGTAAGTCATACCTCATTATACATATGAGGACTCATACAGTAGAGAAACTACATGACTGCAATGAATGTGGGAAATCCTTCAGTTTCAATTCACAACTCATTGTACACCAGAGAATTCACACAGGAGAAAATCTGTATTAATGCAGTGAATGTAGGAAAGCTTTTAATAGGAAAGATCAGCTCATTTCACATCTGAGAACTCATGCTGGAAAAAAACCTTATGGGTGCAGTGAATGTGGGAAGACCTTTAGTAGCAAGTCATACCTCACTATACACATCAGAACTCATTTGGGAGAAAAACCATATCAATGTACTAAATATGGAAAAGCCTTCATTTGGAAGTCACTACTCATTGTGCACGAATGAACCCATGCAGGGGAAGATCTTTGTCAATGCAGTCATTGCGAGAAATCCTTCAGTGGAAAGTTAGGACTCATTGTACATCAGAGAATGCATGCAAAAGAGAAACCCTATGAATTCAGTGAATGTGAAAAGGCATTCGTTAGGAAATCCTAGCTCATTGTACATCACAGAACTCACTCAGGAGAGAAACCCTATGGATGTAATGATTGTGGAAAAACTTCCTCTCAGAAATCAATTCTCAGTGCATATCAGAGGACTCATACAGGAGAGAAACCCTGTAAATGCACTGAATGTGGGAAAGCCTTTTGTTGGAAGTCACAACTGATTATGCATCAGAGAATTCATGCAGGTGAGAGAGAAAAATTGATGAATTAAAAGTGAGAAACTTTCAAAAGTCAATTCAAATCGAAGAGAAACTATAAATGAAATCATCCCATGCACCGCAAAACTTATACTGAATGGAAACTTTATGAAGGCACAGCATGTGGAAGGGCATGCACAGAAAGCTGTTTTTACATTTAAAAAACATCAGTGCATACACACAGGAACTCCATGAGTTTGGTGAACCCTACAAATATTCTCAGTTGTAGGTCATACCTTCCTATAATTTTATACAGCTGTGGAACCATATGAATGAAATGAATGTGGAACAGTCGGTTTTTAGATATGATAAACTTCTCTGAGGAAATTTCATAAATGAACATCAAATACACACTTGAAATTCATAACTTATTAAACAGGAACATTTATTAATGATAGAAAAATTCTACTCTTTATTGCAAAATTCTTAAATGCAACCTTTTGCTGTAATAAAATGACTTACTAAAATACCTTTTAGTAATAGAAACCACATATATGTTATTTGTTTCCTTTATAAGTGGGCCCTGCAGATACCTCTTTTGTTATATACATCGATATGGTGTACATTTATTTTTAAAATATATGTATATTGATCCCTAGAGGAAGGGAGAGGGAGAGAGGGAAACAATGATGAGGGAGAATCATTGATTGGCTTCCTCCTGCATGCCCCCAACTGGGGATTGAGCCTGACTTCCTAGTTCATAGGTCAGTGCTCCACCACTGAGCCACGCTGGCCAGACTGGTGTATATTTCTAACTGGTTAGATTATCCTGATGTCTTTAGGATGACTAATTCCAGACTGTATGTGCACTCATGATGGAATCCTCATTCAAGGTGCAATGGCAAGGAATTGACCTTCTCACCTAAGTAGGCTGAAGTACTTGGGACTTCAAGTTTTTAATGGATGCCTACAGAAAAGCAAGTTGAGTTTTTTTTTGTTTTTTTGTTTGTTTGTTTTTTCCTGGCAGCATCTTCCAATTGTTAATTAGTTCTTTCTATATCAATTACCCAGTATAGCTTGAGGTACAGACACTTTTAAAAATATATATATATATTTTATTGATTTTTTACAGAGAAGAAGGGAGAGGGATAGAGAGTTAGAAACATCGATGAGGGAGATCGATCAGCTGCCTCCTGCATGCCCCCCAGTGGGGATGTGCCCACAACCAAGATACATGCCCTTGACCGGAATTGAACCTGGGACCTTCAGTCCGCAGGCCAACGCTCTATCCACTGAGCCAAACCGGTTCAGCATGGTACAGACACTTTTAATTCTAGTTCAACTGCCTTTATTTTAGCTATGTGTCATTTTTGTAATACATTTAAGTAATTTTGAAATATGTATGTATAGTTGTAGAGTCAGGGTATTGGTAAATTATTCTACCAGTTGCTTATTTACATAGTCTGTTTTCTTTACAACCTCACCAATTTGCTTATTGGACTGAGCATTATTCTGAAAGTGTTGGGTCACTGGCAAATAGATTAGGACTGTCTTGGAGGAATATGAGGATTCAAAACTATAAAGATTTCTGAAGCACCCTCCACCTTGTACTCTTTACTTCAGGAGGGCATTCATCTCTTACCCCTCTAAAAGTTGTTTCTTCCTTAAAAGAGGTATTTAATAATTTCTGAATGACTAATCCTTATTGTATTCAGCTCATTATACAGGATACAATCTCAAGATACCTAGGATGAAGCATGATGATTCACGGAAGGGAAAGGAAAATTTGGATAAAGAAAGAATTTCAGATATTTGCTAAACGATGCCCCAGAAATCCCTAGAAATACCATGACTGTTTTTTGTCATTGATGTTCCACTGAAGATACACACACAGTAAGAATAAGCACCTAAGGGAAAGTCTACATTCAATTTACTATTACCCAGGGTCACTTAGAATTTAAAAGTTACTGTATTGTGTGATGCAAATCCACATAAGACCAAGAGGATGGTAATCCAATAGTGTGGGAAAGGATAGTGCTGGATTTTGTTTGAAGCTTAAAAGCAATGCAAAACTTACCAGACAAATGAAACTTAACAGAATGATTCTATGTACAACCATTAAACAAAATTGAATTTCTGTTAAAAAATCTAATCTCTGGTGTGGGAATCTATCTAGTCCTTCCAACCTAGCCTGTAATAGTTCATAATTTTCAAAAAAGTTCAAGGAAAGTTAATTCCAACATTTAACAATATTTCCCAGTAAATAGACGTTGGGGGAAGGAGAGAATGACTTGCAAGTCATATGAACATAGATTTAAGAGTCCCAAATGGAATAACAAAATGCATGTGATGGTGTGTGTTTTTAAAAAGCCATGTCCCTGTGAAATGGAGCAGACCATTGGTAGTGTCCACTGCCACCAGAATCACTGGTTTTCCTAATGGCAGTGTCGGTTGCTGAAAAGCTACATTTCTCCATTTTCTTTGTAATGAAGTGTAATCATGCTGCTGAACTCCAAGCAATGATATGGCAGTACAAGTTGCTGAGCGGGTCTAATGGGAAGGTTCTTTAGCAGGAAAACAAACACCTGGGAAAAGCCCCCTAGGGTCTTTTCATCTTTCCTCTTCAATATGCAGCACATCATGGTTTGGGTTTCCGTAGCCATCCTAGCACCTGAATTCATCCTGAGGATGGACGCCACCTCCAGAATGCAATGGAGAGTGACTGCCCATCTGATAACGCTGGAGCTGCTATAGGCACCCTAGACTACCAACATCTGGGTATGTTTTACACCAAAGAGAAAACTGTATTTTTGGGGGGGGGGCGGAGAATTGGTTCTCTTATATGCAGCTGAATGTGATCCTAATTGAAACACATTAGGATGTTCGGAAGACAATATCAGAAAATCATTTCGTGAAAATAACCACACTCCCAGATAAAAGAAAAGCCCTATGATTAGCTCAACATGTACAGATAATTCAATTGATGGAATGTAATAATCATACATATTTTAAAATACGAATTAAGAAATGAACTCTTTAACCCCTTCAAGAAGTATGTCATACTTAATGGTTAAACAATAGACATGCACCCTTAAATGTAGAAAATTACAAGGATGCTCATCACATTTATCGAACAACGTAATGGAAATTCTAGCCAAGGTGTGAAAACAAAAAGTTATAATGAATTGTTGGTTATGTCAGAAACAGAAAATTTCCAATTTTTACAAATCAGTCATGTTCTGGTTAAACCAACTGGGTAAGCTTCAAAAATAACAAAACAAAGAAACCCAAAGGAACAAAGCACTAGAAATGAACATTTTTTGTCAGCAAGGAGTTGCTGCTCTCATCCTGGGTGCGAGGGCAGGAAGAGGTGAGGTCCTGCGTAGACCAGTCGCCTTGGCTGGCGTGACGGCTTGGAAACCCCGAGAACCGCACCACAGAGGCCTTCCCAGCCACTCGTTCCCCTGGGTCATCACGGGACCCTTAGGGATAGTGTGACAAGTGTGAGGTTGGCAGAGAAAGCGAAAAATGAAAGATTGGGCTGACTTCTAAGTGCAAGGCAGACGCTATCTGAGGGCAGGAAGGTGGACAGTGCAATAGTTGAAGGAAACCCATTCGAGGCGATCTGTACTTTTTTTTTAAAATATATTTTATTGATCTTTCACAGAGAGGAAGGGAGAGAGACAGAGAGCCAGAAACATAGATGAGAGAGAAACATTGACCAGCCGCCCCCCGCACACTCCCCACTGGGGATGTGCCCGCAACCCAGGCACATGCCCTTGACCGGAATCGAACCCGGGACCTCCCAGTCCACAGGCCGACGCTCTATCCACTGAGCCAAACCGGTTTCGGCGGCGATCTGTACTTTTAGGCTGAGAGGTGGGTAAAGGACTGAGAGAACACACCATCCCTTGCCTGTTGCTGCCCAACCCCCTCACGTATATGCAAACCACCCCAATGCACGTAGGGCTTTGCAGTACAAAACATGGGCGAAGGCTCAGGACAGCTAGGCCTTCACCAGGGCTGGGAGCTCGGAAGTCAGAACTGGACAGCAAAGGGATCTCGGATCCCAGAAAAGCACTCGGGCTGTGAGGCGAGGCAATGAAGCTCACGTTTTCCGAAAGCTGTTGGCTTCCCTGTGAACACAAGCAGATCGCAAACATGTCCAGGTTCAGGTCCCAGCCCTGCTGAGGGAAACATCCTGCCCTCGGAATAGTTGAAAGGAGTGAACTAAATCTAACCTAAAACTGCAACAAAGTCCAGCAGTTTAAATACAGGTCAGACTGATTCTGTCTCACCCAGTCTCCTAATGTAACGCCTGACATTGAAAATATGTACCCTTTTCTGGAAATACCCAAGGCAAAGCAAGTTGTCAGGAATAGAGTCCTAATTCTAAAAGTACTATTTCACCAAAAATAAATCCTAACTCTGCCTGCACTTAACACTAAAGCTTAAAAATCACGAAAAAGTAGAGGTGAAAGAATTGCACTCTGATGTTAGTTGGACACATTTGTCCGTAACTTGGAGAACACATGTCAGCTGCCTGGATTGCTTCCAGACTTTTCACTTGAGCAAACGTTGAAGTGCTTGTCTTTGTGCCGAGGACCCTGCCAAGCGGGGCCTTGGCATTCCGTGGTGCCCGCCGCTGTGTCCAGGGTCAGCGAGAGCCCCGGCGTGGGGGTGGGTGTCACTGGGCGCTGTCCTCGCGGCCCGGCTCAGTGAAGGCCCCTCCTGAACCGGGAGCCCTGCGTCCCCAGGCGCCTCTGCCCACCATGTGGCCTCCGCTCCCACCCTGTGGCCTCGGGCTCTGGGTTTGAACGGCGCGGTCGCCCGCGGGGCAGGGAGCCGGTGTGGGTGCAGAAGGCAATCGGGGTGTCTGCCCCAAGCTGGGGCCCGGGCAGGTTTTGCTCCGGGGTCCACCCACACCGGTAGCCTCGGGTCATCCAAGGGTCGCCGCTTCCTCCTGCCCCCACCTCCGGGGCGTGTGTGCGGCGGCGCCCTGTCCTCCCCGACGCCCACCGCCCCCCGGAACCTGCCGGCCTCGATACATTGTAGCGAGCGCATCTTCCGCTGCCGGATGGCCGCCGCCTTGGCGCCTCCTCCCCGGACGTGTGGGCTGAGCACGTGCGCGCCGGGCGAGCACGCAAGTGGCGGAGGCGGGGGGCACCCCAGCGGCCCCCAAGTGCACCCGGCAGAGCAGCGCTCGTGGCCTCCGCGGGGAGCAGCACCGGGAAAGGTACTGGGCCTCGGCCACCCCCTGGGGAGTGGAGGGGTCAGGGCGCCCGACAGCCACCTTCCGTCCCTCCGTGTCCGCTGGAGCCCAGCCCGTAGCCTCTTTTCCGTGGCGCGGGCTCTGGACGAAACCGGGTCCTGACCTGAACTCTCCCGGTCTCGCCCCGTCCATGTCCTGGAGCCTCGGCTCCCGCAGGGACGCGGGGTCCAGCGCCTCCCGCCCGTCTTGGCGGGGAGAATTGCGGGGCGAATTGCGGGGCGTAGAGGAGGGAGCGCCCGCGGGGTGCGGAGCCGAGGGCGCTGAGCGCCGGCCTCGCGGGAAGTTCAGCCGCATCTGCTAGACTCGTAGCTGCCGTAAGGCTCTGCCCGGTAACTCGCCCCGGAGTCCGGTCCACAGGAACACGGTGCTTTCTCTTTTAATCCGGCACAGCCTTGGGAGTCGGGTCTTCTCTCTGAAAAGCGGCCGCTAGCAAGTTGCCTGAACGTCCATGGGTGGAGCCGTCTGAGCGGGTGGCGGCCCCTTTTCCATGGGATGCTGTGCAGGGCCAGCGTGGGCGCCAGGAAATGTCTGTCGGTCCCGGATAAGCATTCTCCGCGCGTAAAAATAGGCGTCTCTATGCGTAGATTTGTATGAAAAAGAAAAACTCACAAAGCCTTCAAGTCCACTTGCTGTAGCTTATATGTTTGGGGGGACACACAGAGTGGGCTTTGGGGTGCAGTGGATCAGTGCTCTTTGCTCGGGAACTGAAGCCAGCCTGGTGGGGCCCCCTCAGTGCCTCGGCCTGTGTCCTCAGTGCCACTGCCCACAGCACTAGCGGCCCAGGGAAGCCAGCCTGCGTCCACCCCTTTTTACTTTCTTCAGTGTCTGTGACTAGGGCAACCTTTAACTCCTAGCGCTTTCCAAATGATGAGTTTGAGGTTTTGGTTTTTTTTTTTCCAAAATCACAATTGTTAGAACCCGATGGTACTCGTCCTGTTCCCACAGGCCCCATGGCCCTTCTTACATGAATGGAAATGGTGTCTGCCCAGCCCCTGGCCCAGGGCACCTCCTCACAGCTGGGAGATGCTGGGGAAACCTGATGGTTCCCACACACATGGTCACTGACCCGCCGAGCCCAGAGGAGGAGTGAGACACGTATAGAAGGCCAGGTGCAAACAGAGTGGGGCACCTGGGGGCAGGTGAAAGGTGCAGAGGGGTGAGTGACAGCACCCAGCTCAGCCGGGTGCACAGCTGGGCTAGACGGATTCGGAGGGACTGAAAGGCAGTGCCGTGGGGCCTGGTTCCCCGTCTTTCTCGGGTAACCTCACTGTTGCCACCTCACCAGTGCCTGGAGTGGGAGGGGCCTCTCAGAGTTGGTCTGAGGATTCATGTCCAATCAGCCCATGGTTAGAGCTGGCTCTTGTGATGCCTGCCACCTTGTTTGCAGAGGGACGCAGCCCAGCCCAGGATGCAGAGTTTCCTGAAGCTGCTGCGGGAGCGTGGAGGCGCCAGCCCATCTGTGGAGGAGCTGGTGAGCTTCGCGGGCATGCTGTGCCGGGACCTGCAGGACGACCTCACCCAGGCACAGCCCTTGGTCACGGCCGTGCTGGAGAGCCAGCTCCGCCTGTACCTCCTGGGCAACAAGGACGTGGCGCTGGTGTGCGCCCGCGTGCTGGCCCAGCAGGAGCAGCACGAGGCTGCCTGCCGGCTGTTGGAGGTAGGACTGGTCTTGTGGGGGGAGGTGCAGAGAGAGGGGCGGCAGCCACTAGCATCCTGAGCGAGATGGAAAGTCCACAGCCAGCCAGAGCCTGGAGAGAGGTTCTGTAAACAAGGCAGGATGGTCCCCTCTCACTTTGCCAATATCTGAACAGTTTGATCATCTGAGAAAAGTGGTCCATTGATGAAATCCTCACTGAGTGGGGGTCCCAGGTTGGAGTGCCGGCTGCCAGTTGTGTAGCCAGCAGTCAAGCAGACCCAGGACCTCTGTCCCTGAGCCAAAGGCCCGCTCTTGAAAACTCGGAAACCAAAAGCATCTGTGCCACTCCTCTGGGGGCACTGGGCGTCTCAGCTCATCCTCCATGAAAACGTGGCCTGCACTGACGTGAAGGAATTGACGGTCGTTACAGTGGTACATTTTGCTGCCTACAGAGTGACATGTTTGCCTCCGGTATGCTGCCTGCCCCAGACTATATGGGGTGGCACATGCTCTGTAGTGTGTGCCTGTGTTAGTTCATTAAATCAGAGAAATTCTGAATTCCAAAATACAGACAGCTCAGCGGGCTTCAGTCATGGATTTGAGGGCGCATGTTTCCCTGTTTCAGCACATACTTACCGTGAAGATGGTCACTTCTTCCAAGTTCCTTGTATTCCCACCCCCACTCTCCAAGGCAAGAGGTGTCCTCCTCCCGCCTCTGCCTTCATGCAGCAGCTGGAGGAAGTTGTAGAACTGCAGGTGGGACCAGGTGTGCACCAGGGCCTGGGGCCTGAGCCTGCCTGCTCTCCAGGCCTGGACCCACACTCCCCCTTCCTCCTTGTGGCCCGTGCTGGCTTCCTGGCCGTTCTTAGAATTTCCACAACATTTCTTTGTCTCAGGACCTATGCACATGTCATTCCCTCAGCTAGAGGTTGGTGCCTTCCCACCTTTCAGGTTTCTGCTGTCAGTGTCACCTGTCTGGGTAGTGACCCTGTATCCTCAAGTGCAACCCCGCATTCTGTCCTCGGATTCCTTCCTCGGGTCGTAATTAGAGTCCGTTTGTGCTTCCTCTGTCTCCCCTGGCCGCACATGGGCCCAGGAGGGAGGGGCCGCACCCTGTTCTCATTGCAAGAGCGATGACACCCAGCATAACCCTGTGACATAGGAGGGCTCCAGCGTTTAAATCTGTGCAAATAAACGGGTGATGTAAAGAAACAAGGGCACCCACAGTTAGAGGTGTGATAACTGCCGTGAGGGCATCAGCGATGAAATGTAGGATGACACCAGTGCGGACAGACTCCCAGGAGAGGGATCAGATTCCGTCAGGATGGCTTAGACATGCTCTGAAGAGGTGCCGTGTGGCTGAGACCCGAGAGCTAATGCTGTAGCCACCACATGTTTCAGGCCCAGGCTGGTCCCGCAGGCAGGGAGGGTCCGTGACTTCCTGACTGTTGTGCCTGAGGCTGATGGCTGATCCTGGCAGAGACTGCAAGTCCCAGCCCAGCCACATGGGCTCTTTCTGATTATCTGCACCTCCCTCGCCAAGATGGCGCTGGGAACGTGGAGTTAAAGGCGAGAAACACACACCGACTGGTGTCTAGGGTAGTGATGGCGAACCTATGACACGCAAACTCATTTTTTTGGTTGATTTTTCTTTGTTAAATGGCATTTAAATATATAAAATAAATATCAAAAATATAAGTCTTTGTTTTACTATGGTTGCAAATATCAAAAAATGTCTATACGTGACACGGCACCAGAGTTAAGTTAGGGTTTTTCAAAATGCTGACACGCCGAGCTCAAAAGGTTCGCCATCACTGGCCTAGGGGATGCCAGTGCCAGACGTCCTGGCCATCTTCAAAGTGTGGTTATTGGAACAGGTCACCCTGGGCTTCACTCCACTTTCCTGCTGGTGGGAGAAAAAAACTTTTCGCACAAGACATGGGTCGAGCTTTGGAGCCTTAAAAAGACAATGTGGTCGTCAATGACAGCAGCTCTGCCTCCTGTGTGGCCGCTAGCTAGTCACCTACCTGCCCTTTCCTCAGGCTCCTCACCTCTGAGGAGTGACTGACAGCTGTCCCCACCTGTGTGCTTTGTGGGAGGGTTGACGTGCTGGTGTGAATGGGTGGCCAGCTGGGCTCCAGGACACCGCCTGCACCTGGGGTGGACTGGAGTGCTGGCCATCTGGCCATGCCCTGCTGCTTGGCACATCAGTGAGCAGCTCTTCCCAGGGGTCAGGTCTGGGCGATGGCCGTGCTCAGCTGGGTCAGGTGGCCAGGTCTCAGCAGGCTCTTCTCCGCAGGGATGCTGGGTGCCAGGAGGCAGTCAGGAGCTGGTGCAGCTCTGGAATGACATTCACTACCATTTGGTCATGAAGAGGCGGGGCGTGCCCACGCTGACCTCGGTCCAGAAGTTCCGCTGCAGGAAGAGGTACGTGGCTGAGCGTTATTCGTGCAGAGGGAGGGGCGGCCGGTTCCTGGATGAGCACAGGGTGGAGGATATGGAGAGAAAGCCAGGTTCCAGGCCAGACACAGAGGCTGGACAGCTTTGCTCCTGGTCATGGGTGTCCCCGCTGGTCGGCAGGCCCAGGTGCAGGACTCCTTAGCTGCAGGTCCTGGTTCGTGGCCAGAAGAGACCCATTTCTTTCTGACCAGAGAGAATGTTTTCATGCTGCTGCAGAGAGTGAGCTATGTCCTCAGACCCGACATTCACTCAACCTCGGTGTCTTCAAGGCTGCAGGGTGTCCCTCCCTGTAGGTGCTGGGAGCGGCCAGAGTGCAGCTCAGCACGGGAAATGGTTTGGGACCAGCAGTGTCTGTGAAGAGGCTCTCGTTGTGGTGCTATTGGAGGTGCTGAGGACAGAAACTGGGCTTTGTTCTCCAGAGCTGACCTTGGGTAGAGGATAGACAGTAGTCAGGGCAACACTGTACATCCCATGATTCAGACTGAGGAAGGGGAGACAGAAGGTTCTCCGAAGGGGCTGGGACCCATTGTTCTTGCTGTGGGGAGGGCTGAGTGCAGGCCCGTCCAGTCCTTGGCGGAGAGACCTGAGCAAGTGGATGGTGGTCCCCAGGGGCACAAGGAGGGGGCAGGGAGTTACAGCAGAGGCCAGTGCAGGAGCAGGAGCCGGAGGTTCTGAGTCTCTGGCAGTGGCTGAAGAAAGGGTTGTGTTAAGGTAGAGTTTGGCCCTCCCTAGCTGGGTTGGCTCAGTGGATAGAGCGCCGGCCTGCTGACTGAAGGGTCCCAGGTTCGATTCCCGGCAAGGGCACAGGCCCAGGTTTCCGGTTCAATCCCCCGTGGAGGGTGTGCAGGAGGCAGCCCATCCATGATTCTCTTTCATTATTGATGTTTCCATCTCCCTCTCCCTTCCTCTCTGAAATCAATAAAAATACATTTTTTAAAAAACAGAGTTTGGAGGATTTGCCGATGGCTTGTATGTTCTTGAGGAGCAAAAGAAAGATTCAAGCTGGACTCAGTGCTCTTGGCCTAGTGGCTGGAATGTAGTGGCTCCTCACCATGTGCGCAGGACGGGGGCCGGGGGATGTGGGAGGGCCGGGGACAAGCTCCACTTGGGATCTGGGTGAGTGGGATGCCTTTTTGACATGCAGGGTATTTGTTCAGTTGGTGTTTGGATGTTAAGTTTTGTATAGACAGGTGCTATTTGTTTAGATGCCACCATTTTCTTTTAAAATAACTCAGATTTTCACAACGTTCAAGCATAACCAATCTCAGCATCCTCATCATGTAGCTTCCCCAGTTCTTGGCATTTGTCAGCCCTGGCATCTCGCTGCATGTCCTGGAAGCCCTGGTGCAACCTGCAAGTGGGGCCGGGGAGCCCTCACCCCTCAGGAGACGGGCCCCTGGGACCTGGCAGCATAGGAACTGGGAGGAGTGGCCTGTGAGCTAAGGGCCTGCAGGGCACCGTGTTCTGGGCACAGGAGGTTTAACAGGAGCGGTGCCAGGAGAAGGGAGGCTGTGACACCCCCTGTCTGTGCTCCCCAGGAACCCGCCACCCCCCTCCCTCTGCCCTGACGGACTGAAGAGCCGCAACTTCCCCAGGGAGGTTCGCCAGAAGTTGCAGAACTTCGCCTCGGGTGTGAGCAGCAGCCCCAGCAAGGCCGAGCGGGTGAGAGCCTGAGAGCCAGGCCAGGCAGCCCTCAGTGTCCCCGCCTGCTGCGCAGCAGTCTGGCCTCTGGTGACCTTCGCGCACCCCCCACCCCGTGCACCCTGCTGCTGGGCTCAGATCCCATGTTTCCGCAGGAGGCCCTGGCTGCGGAGACCAGCCTCACCGTGGAGCAGGTCTACAACTGGTTCGCCAATTACCGCCGGCGCCAGAGGGCGGGTCTCCAGTGCTTGGAGCCGCAGCCCTCAGGCCACCGCCACCCCGGCTTCGTGGGTGGGCACCCACCTCAGTGGGCAGGTGAGTGGCCCAAAGGTCCCCATGCTGGGAGCTGACCTCAGCTGCCCGGTCACTGCACCGTGTCCAGGGCCAGGCCTAACCCTAATCCTGACCTGCACACTCACCCTGAGGAGCAAGAACAGTGAGGCTGAGGGTCAGATGGGGCTGCGGCTGCCCTCGTGTGTGGAGGCCACTTGGCCAGGGCCAAGTCAGTAGGTTTGGGAAGCAGGGTGTCTAGTCAGGGATTGTTGCTCAGAGTAAAGGTGCATCACGGGACACAGGCTGTTGGAAGGACTCGGTGGTCACACCTTTCCCCACAGCAGGGCTCCTGTGACTGCTGGGAAGGAGGCCGGAACTTAAGCTCCATCCAGCTCCCTCCCATCCGACTGGCTTTCTACAGGAGGTGAGGAGAATGGGCCGGCTCGAACCCTGGTGACCACTCAAGGGCTTTGGCAGCCTCCGGCCCTGGCCTTGGACGTTTCTGGAGACGGGACAATGCCCGAATCACCGACTCCCAGGTACTGTCATTCCCACGGTCTGTTCTCCTTGTTCAGCTTCCCCACCGTCAGCAGGATACCAGGGGGGATGAGCATGGGCGTGCTGGGCCAGCTGGGACCAGGTCTGCGTGGGCTGTGGCCACAGGAGAGCGGGCGCTCTTGCCAGGAGCCCAGGTCAGGGACCCTGCACTTGTTCCCCGAGACTGACTCACAGCCTGGCGTCCTGCGCATGATGGGGAAGGGGAAACAGACGCAGAAAGAAAAATACGCAAACCTATCGCCTGCAGGCACACCCAGCTGTCCTGGTTCGTTTGCTTCTGGTGTTTGGTGTGGTCTGTTTCATTGGGTTGATCAGGGCCAGCACTGTCGGGTTCCTACTGTACAGGGTGGTGCCTGGCCTGGCACCTGACGTCCAGTGACAGCACCCGGCTGTGTGTCTCTAGGCGGGTTCTGTGACCTCCCTGCCTCGCTTTTTTCACCTGTGAAGTGGGGACTTGCAAGACCTGCCTTGTGGTTGTTGCAACAGTTCCTGAGGTGAGGGTTGTTGACAGAGGCCCAGGAGCACCATCTGAGACACGTTGAGCATTTGTGGATTATTCATTCTCTCATTATTATCCACTGCTGCCTCGTGTTCCTTTGAGACCAACCATCATCTATTCAGTCGCCTGCTAGGCCCTTCCCAGCCACGTGCAGCTCTCAGTGCGTGGAGAGTTCTTCCCTGAGGCCTTTGAAGGAACTGCGAGTGTATCTTGGGTTTCCAGTTATACTTTCTTCTAAGTGTCTGTAGAGCGTTTGCAGGCACAGGAGAGCAGTGAAGGCAGCCGGATTGGGGAATGGTGGGCCCCATGCCCTCAGTGACTGTCCTAGCCGGAGCGAGCCTCCATCCACCAAGGGACAGTGTTCGTGGGGTTTCCCAGTTCTCTGCAGGGCGGTGAGATGTATCCGGAGGGGCCTGGCCGTGACCCATCCACTCTCCCCGCCGTCTACCCTGACCCTGGCTTCGCTGGGCTGGCTGCCCGCAGCGACTTGCTGGACCCTTCAGCTGCGCCCAAGCCCTGGCTGGTGTCCCTCACACTGGCGTCCTCCAGGGACGCTTCCGTTCAGACTGAACAGCTGGTGCACAGTCACGGGCTGCACTTCTGGATGCCCCCTTCGGACGCTTCTATGTCAGTGTCCATTTCCACAGTCGCCAAGCCCAGCTCCACAGGTGAGTCCACTCCACTGGGACCATGAGTTTCTGCACCAGAGGCTGCAGCTACGGGCATCTCTGGGGGGCAGGGAGGTATGGGAAGGGCCAGGGCTTCCGCCCGAACCCTCTGCTTGATTAGACCCAGAACCAGTGAGCCTCAAAGAGGCTCTTCCGACAAACATCCCAGGTTATAGTTCTTATTTGTTTCATTTGTCAAAATAAAACATGCACATGAAACAAAATAAGATGCGAGGAAAGAGCAAAAAGGAAACGAAGCAACTGCCAGTCCTCCAGTCCCCACTCTGTGCACTCGCCTACCTGCCAGCACCTGCTGCTACAGCACAGGGCCGAGCTTCTGAGACCGCAACCGGGGCATGTGCCCTTGACCGGAATCAAACCCGGGACCTTTTAGTCCACAGTCTGACACTCTGTCCACTGAGCCACACCAGCCAGGGCCACAGGGGCTTGTCTTTAAGCGTGACCAATTTTCTGCCGGGCCGGCAGGGCTCCATGTTTGAGCATCGACCTATGAACCAGGAGGTCACGGTAGGATTCCCGGTCAGGGCACATGCCTGGTCTTCGGACTTGATCCCCAGTGTGGTGCTTGCAGGATGCTGCCTGTCAATGATTCTTTCATCATTGATGTTTCTCTCCCTCTCCCTTCCTCTCTAAGATTAATTGGAAATATATAGATAGAGAGAGAGGGGGGAGGGAGAGAGAGAGAGGGAAATATTCTGTGAAACAATGTAAGTGGAGAAAGGTAAGGTTGTGGCACCTTGTACCTCAGTGAAGCCAAAGGTGAAGTGACAATGTCCCGACCTCCCATGGCAGTGGGTGGGCAGATTCGGATGCTGAGTCTTGGGTGGGGGGACAGTCAGACAAGGAGAATTGGCCTTCGTTTTGTCCTCTGGAAGCCTGAAGGCACCGCTGAGATGAACAGTTGTGGCCAGTCCTCCTTCAGGGAGGGAGGCTGCGGGCTGTGGCCAGGCAGCTGGACACTCCTGTCCTGCAGGTCTTGGTTGTGCTGTGCGTGAGCTTGGCCCTTCCTCCCTGCAGTGGGCTGTGGCCTTTCCTTCATGCAGGGCTCCTTGACCTGCCCAGCAGCCACCCCCAGAGCACATTCCTGGAGGAGGGTCCGGGCACCAGCATCAGCCAGGCAGGCAGCTTCCTGGTGACACAGCCCCCACCACAGGCTCCGGAGTTGGTCCTGCCCCAGAGGTAAGCCTGCAGAGCCCTGGTTCATAGCGTTGGCTGAGCTTGTGCCGATGAAGCCTTTTGCTTACAGGTTTCTGGAAACTACAATAGTCCCTTAGCCTGTGTCTCCCAAAGAGAAGAGGGTGGGGTTTCGCCCAGACAGAACGGGGAACACGAGAGTGGACAGGACATCTGTGCTGTGGACGGTTTTTAGGCCTCTTCCCTGAGATTTCCCTGGCACCCAGCAGCCTCTTCCTGGCATTTTCTTCTTCCCAGATAAAGGCTGTCAGAGTTTCTGAGCAGCATGGAGATCCTTGTTTTATTTCCAGAGTGAAGTTTTAAAGGGCCTTGGCAGCCTAGGGGCTGTGGAGTGGCCGTGGGGCCGGGACAAGGGTCCAGGAGCCTGCACACAGGAGGGACAGAGGGATGTGACCGGGGAGGGGGGTCCTCTGCTAAAGGGAATTTCTTTTTTTTTAAAAATATATTTTATTGATTTTTTTACAGAGAGGAAGGGAGAGAGAGAGTTAGAAACATCGATGGGAGAGAAACATCGATCAGCTGTCTCCTGCACACTCCCTACTGGGGATGTACCCGCAACCCATGTATATGCCCTTGACCGGAATCGAACCCGGGACCTTTCAGTCCGCAGGCCGACGCTCTATCCACTGAGCCAAACCGGTTTCGGCTAATGGGAATTTCTGAGAGTGACCCCCAGGACCGCATCCCCAGAGACTGGGTCTCACTAATCTGGCGCTGAAGGCCAGATGCCACGTGAGGGCAGAATTATAGGGGGACACGAGCGGGAGGGGAAGTCCCAACTCAGATGGTGGGAGAACCCTGACCGTCCTCCATAGTGACCTGGAGTCGGGAACAGACGTTTGCGATTGCCTTTAGGGACCTTCCGACAGGTCTCCCTGGCAGCTGCACTGCCACTGTCCCCGCCATCCCTCTGCTTCCTCTGGTTTGGGTGTAAGGTGCTCTGTCTCCTTCACCTCCCCAGCCCGTCCCTTCTGCATGACCTTCTCACTGCACGTGTCCTCCATGAGCCGCTCGGGTGCACTATACCTCCCCCCAGCCATGTGCTTGTCGTGTCCCATGGGCCCCTTTGGTCGCTGTGCCCTGAGGTCCCTCAGGGAGGAGATGGGTCTGAGGGTCTGGCACACGGGGAGCTCCTGGTGCGCAGACACTCTCAGGCATGTTCCCCATGGGGTGGAAGGTGTTGCTTGGTGCCCACTGGAGACCAGCCCTGTTCGGATGTGACCCCTTCTACAGCCTCCCGGAGCTGGCTCCTACCCCGTCGACCTTTCCCGGGCCTGTGCCTGCTGGGCAGCTGAGCGAGCCCCTGCCGTCCAACCAGGTGAGGCTTTCCTAGGAGGAACTGGGTTCCTTCCTCACTCCTGGATTCACTCCCGCCTTCGGACTGAACAAGTCGGCCAAAGATGAGCTTGGGGGAGCCTGGCAGAGGGTGCCTGCATGTGTGATGCTGTGTTGGCTTTCCAGGTGCCGTGGTCTGACAGCCAGACCTCCAGCGATGCCTTCTGGGTGGCCAGGATGCTCCTTGAGCTTTCGGGGGGCAACATGGACTGAGCTGCCCCCGGGAGCCAGGCCAGCATCCCAGGGAAGACAGGTGTGGACATTTGACCGTTCAGTACAAGTTACAGAACCTCATCCTGATGAAGAGAGAAGGTTCCCGAGTTCCCTGGGGGCTCTGCTGGGAGGTGTGTGCGTCCCTGGTCCACGCCGTGTTTATGCAGTTGTTTGGCAGCTCCTGATGTTGGAGGAAGAGTTTTTGAAATGTTTATGGATTCCAAGTCGAAGGGGTGTGTTCCACTCAGGCCACGGCAGACGTTAGGGCCACCCCTGAGCAGTTGTGGGCAGGAGACTGTTCCCCTGCCGGCCACCCTCCTGCCTGCCCTGTGCCAGGCCAGACTCCCCACCGGTAACATGGTGAGTGGGAAGTGGAAGCGTGCTGTCAATTCTGTGCCTGTGGTGCTTCTCCAAGTGGCGTCGGGTGTCCCAGCAGTGTGGCGGGTGCCTTTCAGTCTAAGGTTGTAATCCGTTATGTTTGCCACATGTTCTGTTCAATTACATTAAAGTTTCATGCTCTGGACACCTCGTGTTTATTCACCTAGCTGCACCCTGAGCACTGCCTGTCGCTGTGGTTGTCGGTCTCCGACCAGCATCGCACAGCACGGGTGCAGGGACCCCAGCATCACAGATACTGTGTCTCGTGTCTTGTGTTGTACGCAGGGTCACGGGCGACATCTGTGCCATCTGCTCTGAGGTGATGGTGATGTTGTGGGAACAAGAGCTGCCCTGGGGGTGGCAGTGGCCAGACACAAGCACACTGACCGTGGCGCCCTGCGAGCGGTGCACCTCCTGGCGCCAGACATTGGCCTGACAGCTGTTTCTCAGTGGTTAGAACAGTGCCCGTACCCCAAAGGGTCCTGGCTTTCATTCCCAATCTGCCAATTCCTGCACAAAAGTGATCCTCTCCTGCCCTCCTGTGGCCATTCAAGGAATTACACATTGTGCCTCTGTCCATGGTGCTGATATTCCAGCAAAAGCACTTTGAAGCCCACCCCAAATTCCACCCTGAAAACAACAACAACAACAAAGTCAGAGAGCCTGGCCAGGGCGGCAATGATTCCCGCCCTGGATGTACTGAAGTCATGGCTCTTTGTTCTGCACCTTTTCCCGCCCCAGCCCTACAAACGGAGGCCCCGGAGACTGCTGCATTGAGGCGCCCTTTAAGGTGACTCACCCTCCCTGCCTAATATGTGTGTTTGTGCCGTTTTTAACTAGATAGTGGTGAGTGTATGTCCGTAAAGCCAATGGTCTAACCAGTGATCCATACCAGCTACGGATGTTATTCACTATTAAAATATAAATTTGAGCTCGGTCAAGGGTCATAGGGTCATAGGCAAAGTCTGGGGATGGGGCTAGGGCAGGGGTGGCATTAGGGTTTTAGGGTGATGGGTCGGGATCAGGGTCAGAAGTGGAACAGGTGAATATACTTTGGAGATGGTGAATTTGTTTTGTCAAACGTGAATTTGATTGTATTTCAGTAGCTTATTAATGAGTGTACCCTTCCAGGATCTTAGCAAATTCCAATAGTGCTTCATATTTTTTCAAGTTACTGCAGTGACATTAGGTTATTATGACTGCGTACATTCTTGATCCTAGTAAATTAGTTGTAAACACTTTTTCCTGAATAAAAGATTCTAGTTATTACCTTGGTTTTGAAACAGTGGTTTCAAAACGTGTTCTTGTAACTCGAAGGGTTCTGCTTGATTCCAGTGTGTGTCATTTTCAAAATGAAAGGTAAAATAAATCTGTAGAAATGTGCTAAGACCCAGCATCCCTTATTTCGTGATTTATCAGAATGTAATCATAGAGCAGACTTATACTCTGGTTTTATAGGATAAATGCTTATATTTCTCCTTCAAGTAAGTTACTGATTATACTGTACAGGTCTGTGAATTTATATATTTATTATGCTAGTCCTTAAAGGATGCTGTCAGCCAATTCCTGCGCAAAAATAATCCTCTGGTGCCCTCCTGTGGCCATTCAAGGAATAACAACTTGTGTCTCTGTCCATGGTGCTGCAATCCAGGCAAAGCCCTGTGAACACGACCCAAAATTCTACCCCTAAAAAACACCAGCACAAAATCATCGAAGTTGTCCAGGGCGGCAATCATTCTGTAGTCACGGCCCTGTGTTCTTCACCTCCTCCCGCCCAAGGTCTTAAAAGGGAGGCCCCTGTAGACTGATGCACTGAGGTTCCCCTTATGGTGACCCACCCACCCTACCTCATATGTTCATTGGTCCCGTTTTCAACTAGAGTGGTGAGTATGCTTGGCAAGCAAATGCTCTAACCAGTGAACAACACTAGGTACGGATTCTATTCAGTTTTAAAAATATAAATTTTAGCTTGATCAAGGGTTAGAGTTCAAAGCTATGGCTGGGGCTAGGGCTGGGTTTGGTGTTAGGGTTTTAGGGTGAGGGTTCATGGTCAGGGTTAGGTTTCAGGTCAGGGTCAGAAGTGGAAAAGGTGAATTTTCTGTGGACATGGAGGATTTGCTTTGCAAAAGTTGAATTAGCTTTGCAGAAGGGGAATTTCCTCTGCAAAAGGTGTATTTGCTTTGGAAAAGGTGAATTTTAACTGTAAAAGGTGAATTTGTAAACACATTATTTTCTGAATAAAAAATTCTAGGTAATAGTTTGTTGCCTTAGCACAGTGGGTTTGAAACCTGTTCTTGTAACTTGATACCTATGCCTGTCTCTTTCAGAATGAAAGATGAAATAGTCCTGTAGAAATGTGCTAAGCACAAGGATTCCTTATTTTGAGATTGATCAGAATGTAATCCTAGAGCAGACTTATAGTCTTGTTTTATAGGATAAACGGTTTTATTTCTCCTTCAAGCAAGTTACTGCTTATACTGTACACGTCTATGCATCTATGTACTTATTACCCAAACCTCAAAGGATGCTGTTAGCCAATTTCTGAGCAAAAACTATCCTTTGCTGCCCTCCTGTGGCCATTCAAGGAATAACACCCCGTGCTTCTGTCCGTGGTGCTGAAATCCCAGCTAATGCCCTGTGAACAAGACGAAAAATTATACCCAGAAAAAACAAACAAAATACAACACACACAAAATCATCGAGCCTTTACAGGATTGCAATCATTCCGTCCCTGGATGGACTGAAGTCATGGGTCTGGCTTTTGCACCTCATCCCGTTCCAGCCTTGGAAAGGGAGGCTTTGGCTGCTGCACTGACATGGTGAACTGGTGCCTTCACGCTGTCAGTCCGAAACCTAGAGGCTGCCGTTATTGATGCACCCAGTACTTGGAGGCCGCCGAATTTGATACAGCCAGTAACCTAGAGTCGGCGATATTTGCAGGATTCAGTACCCTGGGGGTCGCCATTCCTAAGTCAGACAATGCCCTGGCTGCTGCCATTCCTGAGTCAGTCAGTCCATACAGAGAGGTGTGAGGTATCGCGAGACTAAGCGACCTTGCGAGACTCCACCTCTACAGAGGTATTCGGTACCCTGGAGGCCGCCATTATTGATTCCGTCCGTACAGCGGTGCCTCCGGGATCGAGGTGGCCCGTACGGGGCAGGTGGCGTTTACTGAGACAGCTTGAAGGCTGCAGCGGCGTCTATTGAGGCAGCGATTTCGCTGTAGGCTGCGGTCTGTGTGACCTGGAGTCCGCTTTGAGTGCGGTATTCCGTAAGGTGGCGGCCGCCATTCGTGAGGCAGGAAGTCCGTACAGCGAGGGTGTAAAGTTCCGCGAGACCAGGCGACCTCGCGAGAGTACGACGTTACGTAGGCGCCGCGTACGCTGGAGTCCGCCATGACTGAGTCCGTCCGTACGGCATTGCTTCTGGAACCGAGGCGGCCCGTACGGGGCAGGTGGCGCTTACTGAGGCAGCCAGCGGGCTGTTGCGGGGTATACTGAAGCAGGGAATATGGTGCAGGCCGCCTTCCGTGTGCCCTGGAGTCCGCTATGAGTGCAGCCTTCCGTCCGGTGCTGGCCGCCATGAGCGAGGCAGGCCGGGGCCTGGAAGCCGCCATTGCTGAGGCCGGAAGTCCGTACAGCTTGGGTGTGAAGTACCGCGAGAGCAGGCGACGTCGCGAGAGTGCGCGGCTACGTAGGTGCAGCATACTTTGGAGCCCGCCATTACTGAGGCAGGAAGTTGATACAGCGTGGTCATAATGTCTCTGGAGTGCAGGGGACTTTGGGGGGGGGTTCGCCCTTGTGGAGGCATTTATTAGCCTCTAGGCCGCTTGTACTGCCTGTCCTCCAAGAATGATGCAGCGAGGATGGACAGGTCGCCTTTACTGAGGTCACTGGTGGCTAGTTACGAGGTTACTGGTTCCTAGTTACCGGTGTACTGGTAACCAGTCCACTAGGTTAAGGATGACTACTTACTAGTTTTAGGTCAGTAATTAGCAGGTAATGGTTTCCAGGTCACTAGGTTCCAAAGGTTCCTAGTTGCCAGTTACTAGGTTACTAGGTACTAATTTTCTAGCTATTAGCTACTAGGTTGCTTGGTAGTATTTATTAGGCCAATGGTTATTGGTTACTATGTTCCTGGTTACCAGTTTCTAGGGGACTGTTTCCCAGTTGTTTAGGTTAAGTATTACATCTATGCATTTATATACTTATGACCGAAACCTTTAAAGAATCTGTCAGCCAATTCCTTTGCGAAAAGTATCCTCTGGTGCCCTCTTGTGGCTCTGTAAAGAATACCACCTCCATCTTCTGTCCGTGGTGCTGAAATGTTAGCTAATGTTCTTTGAATTTGATGAAGAATTCTACCCCCAAAAACACAACCAGCCATGACTGTTTTGACTGAGTGGTTAGAGCATCAGCCTGCGGACGATTCCAGTCAAGGGCATATACCTTGGTTGAGGTCACATCCCCAGTAGAGGGTGTGCAGGAGGCAGCTGATGGATCTTTCTCTCTCTATCCCTCTCCCTTCCAGTCTGTCAAAAAATCAATAAAAATATTTTTACGAAAATACAAAGAAACCAACCAACAAAGACCACAGAAAATCCTAGAAAATGATGGATGCTGTCCAGGGTGCCATTGTTTTTTCCCTGGATGGACTGAAGTCACTGGTCTGGATTTTGCACCCTTTCCGGTCCCAGCCCTGGAAAGGGAGGCTTTGGCTGCTGCAGTGACACGGGGAAGCTGTGCATTCACTGTGTCAGTGTGTAACCTAGAGGCTGCTATGATTGAAGCAGTCAGTCCTGGGGAGGCCGCCATTAACAAGGCAGCCAGTATCGGACAGTTTACCTTTCCTGAAGCAGCCAGTCAGCCGGAGGCCGTTGTGATTGCGGCAGGCAGTCCCTTGGATGACCCCATTATGGAGGCAGCCATTGTGTGCAGCGAGGTGCAGGGGTATCGGGAGAAGGCATTTTTCCCGCTCGACTCAGCGGCCCCTGGAGAGGCCTCGTTGACTGAGGCAGCCAGTCTCCTGGAGGCTGCAATGATGGATGTAATGAGTAGCCTAGAA